AAAAGATCAAAAGATAGTTAATCTACACCCGAGCTCCCTTCGCCACTCTCTTTCTTCACCTAGTAAAAACTCCATAATTTCATTAATTATTTCATGAATCCATAGAAATACTGTCACAATTTAATCACAATTTCAATTAAACCGACAATATCTAGCTAACATTCAAGTGGCAAGATTAGTATCATTAAAACAATTGATAATCCCAATTAAATCAAAATCTGCATCTAGTTAACGTAATTCTTAAATAACATTGATTGAGATTGTGATTAAATACTAATGAAATCAAATAGATGAAGAAGGCGGTGGATATAGTTGAGAATGAATAAATGAACCAAAATCTTAAATCACATGACACGATTTTGTAATATCCTGACATTTATTTGTCCTAGAGAGAGAAGGGACAATGGAGATTAGAGAGAGAATAGATGCTTTTTGAAAACTATTCCATGTATGACACATAGACAGAGGGAAGGATCAATCAAATTTAACACTTAACATTAATATTACAAGAATCAGACCGGACAAATAGTTTGATTAAAAAAAAAAAAAAAAACCTGGTTCGAAGTCAACAAAATTAGATGATAAAAACCGCAATTTGTAAAACGTGTTAAAATAATTTCAAAATTAACCTTCACCTAAAAATTCGATGAGCTGACTTTTATCGATTTTAATGTTCATTTCTTAATAAACATTTTTTTTTTACCACATCTTCGATCACATTTGACCATTTAACTTTTCTCGAGTCGATGCGAGGATTGATTCCCCGCACCCCGTAAACAAGGAATAAATCGCTTGGAGTAACAAATGAATAGGTGTATATTTTTTATAGGGAAAAATATCTTTATCAAACAAGCCATTGATTTGATTTGTTTTGTTGAACTACTAATTCATCTCTCTTAAATTATGTAAACGTAATTACATGCATCATTATGGGTTGACTTGCATCTTATTATCATAGTTAGAAAATAATTAACTTGGGGTAAGGATTTCCCGGGGGGGGGGGGGGGGGGATTTGGCCATNNGGGGGGGGGGGGGGGGGGGGGTAATTGACCCCTTGCAAGGCCCAAAAGTTGAGCATTGTTTGAAAAATATCTAGATACATGGTGCACCCTAACTTTAATTGTGAAGCTTAAATGAAAGGTACTTCCTAACCAAATTGTTGATTTTGCTAATAAAGTCAACATAATTTGTGATTTAAAAATGATTTATTGTTGACCAACTTCATATGTTTAGTTAATAGTGATTGTGAAGTGACTAATTAATAGTTAAAGAAATATTTCATCTAATCTTCGAATGATTAGCCCGTCCACTTCTGCATTCATCTCCCTTGGTAGACTTGGGGAACAATATAATTATGTACTAAAGTATTAGAAAAATAGAGTCGTAATTTCTTTAATTCCTTGAAGAGGTTGTTTCGATGGTTTTTGATCAACAAAAATTGAAATACAGGTTATGGTCCGTCTTCTCTAATACACAACAATCGTATTAAGTTGTTGGGAAAATCAGAACTCTTTTTTTATTTTTTTTTTTGGCCAATAAGATTCTTGCTGGGGGGGGGGGGGGGGGGGG